TAAATTCGTTAAATGTTGTTGCTACAGAAATTGTTATAAACTACTTTGAGCCCGGGCATACTTTTATGTCGGCGGATTCGTTCCACCACCAGGTGGAACAATCCATGAGAAAGTTTAAAAAAATCTATGACTTTAATGATTTCAAAAAGGCAGTTTCAAATGCCAATTCTTCTAGAGTAAATGTCCTAGAGATGGAACTTACAGACTTTTTTGACTGGAAAGATTTTAGTTCCAAGTTCAAATTGAAACAGGAAAAGGTTTATTTACACGATATAGTTCAAATTGTTGCTAGAAGAGGTGAAATGATTTTATATTATAAAAATGACTATGAAGGGGAACTTTTACCGCTCAATTTTTTAAATGCAAAAATTTTAAAATCTGGTATTCCAAATCCCAGTCAGCAGTCAACGTTTAGGGGCATTTCCGGTGAAAGACGTAACGGGATTGTTAATCTTATCAAAGGAGCCTCAAGCATAATACCCAGTAACAGAATTCAATTTTGGGAGAATATTCCATTAGCGAACGGTGAGCCTGTCGAGGACGAAGATAATTTTTGAAACACTTTTTTTTTGTAAGAACGATAGTTAGTTTCATATTTTCTATGTACCTACTATTTTGAAAGGTTTAGTAAATGTACTTATAAACTATACTGTTTTTTATTTAAATTCTATTATTTTTCATATTCAATTTTATGCTGTGCAAGCACTTCACTACTAACTTCCTACTGAGGTTAGTAGATACGTCAAAATGTTTTAGTAAATTACTATGAAAAAATGCATAAAAAAGCGGTATCTACATTCTAATTAATGAATACATTTAATTTCATGTGATTCCATAGTCATTAGACTAGCAATTTTCAATAAAGTTGCTTTACAAATTTTGGAACCAAAATGTCACCAAGCTGAGTTGGCAGATCTATTAATATAAAAGTACTAATATCTAGGTATAGTCATTATGTTAGTTACCGCTTCTGCGCTTAGTACGGCAGTATAGTCCAACCTTGGTTGACAAATTAACACGGAAGATGGAATTTAAAAAACTAAAAATGGAAGCTTTCCCTAATCAGATTATAACTAAACCATATAAATTCGCCTCCATTCCTTATATGGGCATTTTTCTGATAGGATTGCTAAAGTCATCAATTCGGTAACAATACTGGTAGGTCTCTTTTAGGTCTACAAAATATTTGGGTGCTAGGCTATTGAATGGCAAGGACAAGGTTGACATTGTGGAGAAAAGTGGTGTCTATAAGGTTACTTGCGATACTTGTCAGGCATCTCACGTTGGTTTGACTTGTAGACCTCTGGAAGTGAGAATCAAAGAACATCTTAATAGACCTTCATCCTCCCTCCTCTTTATTTTAAAGTATAATAGTCGTAGTTTTTCTCCTGGTAGTTCCAAGATTATTCATCACATCTTTTCCAGGGGCCTGAAACTCAACCTATATGAGGATCTGGAAATTTCCAGAAATTCTCTGAAATGTCCTAACCACCTCAACACGAAGGTTGGTTCCAATTATGGGTTCCAGCCTATTTTTAAGCACTTCAATTCGAGACAACACTATTCCAGCAGGGACAATAAAGTTGAAAAGCTTCAAAAAATTGTAATTCTAATTGTAATTCGTCTTTCGTCTTTGCTAATATAGTAGGCGCGGTTTTTTGATTTCTTTTTCAATAACGAATAGCTTAACATTTTTATCTTTTTATTTAAATCTATATATATATAAATCAATGTTTGCTTGCTGGGTTTCCGCCTTATGCGCTCCTACACCACTTATCCGATTACGATGAAACTTTGGTAGGTTGTTATGGCCACCCCAAGGAAGGTTTGTGGATAGGTTACGCATCTCGGAAAAAGAAATTAATTTTGAATTAATTATTAATTTAATTGTAAACAAACTTATTCACGTTACATATCAACTTTTTTTTGACAGCATGAAACAACGTTGCCACATTTCATTTATTTAGGCTTGCCATTCAACCGACGTAACTTTATTATTTTTTCAATTCGAGAACGGCTAGACCGATCTTGAATTTAATACCACGTATCTCTATATAAGCCGAATTCGATTGACCTAGATTAGATCGATTTGGGTTCAATTCTTCTGATCTAGATCATTTTTTTGTCGATGAAGGTGCACTGATCCAACCTCAATCGCACACAGTGTGGTTCACTTAAATTGAACCAGATCGATCTAATCCGGTCAATCGAATTCGGCTATAGAGGGGAGTGATATAGGCTATTTTTTATCCCGAAAAAAAAGTTCAGTTGCGTGAAACTTTGATACACTGGACCGCCTATAAACAGCCCGGGGCGCTCTAGAGCAGCTCTGGAGTGCTTCTTAAAATGCGTCACTGAACTCACTGGCAAGCGACTCTGGTTTGACCTGAATTCAATTCAGCTACTAGATACGTTAACACAACATTTAATAGGTATTTAATCCAGAGATATTCAATAATTCAGAGGCAGTACGAAGTAAAATAGGTAAAATAGGTGCGACTAAATAAGGAACGGTAATTTTGTTGTTTTGCTTAAAATAATTATTGGAGTGTTTGTAATTTTTTAACTGTTGTTGAGTGAATTTTAATATCTTTTTTACCAATACTCCCCTTCATTATGCAATTTTCTGTGTATTTTTGACAAGTAGGTAAGTGTTACCGTTGGTTACTTTTCTACTTAATTTAGACTTAGATTCTTCTTTTTTGTATTATCTACTTACAGTGTGTCGGTCCTGATGATGACCTAAAGTTGAACCAAATCCAAGCCGCAGTAAATGACAAACTGGTCATTTTCATTACAACCTATCAAATGTCCTCCGTGCATGCGCACTTGTCCAGGTAGGGCGTTTCAACCAATATAAAGGCTGGTGTTTGTTGACAATTTAGCTTATTTAACGTCATTTACTGCCGCTTGGATTTGGAAATGGTTTAGTATGGTCGAAAGCGCTTGAAGTGAACATGACATTTGTCTATAAATAAATATACCTGACTAGAAAATCAGGAATGGTCAAAAATAAAATGAACTTTTTGATAATTTTTTTTTTTTTTTTTTAAAGAGACCTAAAAGCCGAAATAGAAAAGTTTTGTACGGTTTATTAATAAAACCGATAAGCAACCTAAGTAAATTTTAATATAGTCAATTTTTTCAATAAAAGCTGTTTTGTGAAGTGAGTTCCCGGAATCCGTGACCAATATCATTTTTTTATTTTCTTCCAGTTCTATATAACAGTATTTTAGTGTTTCTTTTCTTAGTGATCGAATCAAGCTTCAGACCAATCAGACCTCTGATGATCTTATATCAACCACGAAACAATCCAGTATCTCAAAATTCCATGTCCCTGTTTCATTCTTGTCTCTGTTGATCATATTTTTTTTCTTGGTATGACTGCACTCGTTAGTATCCTTGGTATTCAGCTATTTATTATATGCGTCCTATTTGTCAAGCATTCGCTCTTCTACCAATCAATGAATCATCGAACCCTTTACCTATTGGGTCCTTATTCTTGAAACAGGGGAGCAGCATTCCCGGGAGAACGAGTGTTCTGTCCTTGTTATTTATATTATCATTTTGCATATCATTGAGAAAGACGGAACACTCGTTCTCCTGGGAATGCTGCTCCCCTGTTTCAAGAATAAGGAACCGTGATGATATGCAACATTGCAGACCTGAAATTTAATAGTGATTTAGCCAATGACGTTTTAACACATGGCAGATTTGACAGTGAGAGAGAAATAGTTTGTAGGTTTGCAGTTTAGACCTCTTGATTGGGTAAAAAAAATATTGTTCCAGTTTTGTGTAAACCCTGAAAAATCAGAATTCATTACTCGGAAAAAAATTATTCAGCTCAACGTCGACAAGTTTTTTGAATAATGTAGCATAGAACCTGAACATGTAATACGAATACTGCGGTTTATTTATTTATCGAAAGGAGAACATCGTCCATTCAAATCAATTTAATATCAGGTTTTAGAAAAGAATGCAAAACTTACCAGAAGTCCACAAAACTAACCAACTCACGTAACCATAATTACTTGACTTGGAGAGTAGAGTAAGTGAATGTAGAAGTGACTAAAATGAAGATGAAGCTTTCAAACTCTACGTAATTGATATGTTTTTTTGTAGAAAAACCGCTGCGTCAATAAGGAATCGTTTGACAGAATTACAGAATCTCGATAAAGGTAAAGATAATCATTTTAGTGACGGCCGCGGTATTCTCGGGCGCAAGAAATTCCACTTTATGCAACAGTATAACAAAAAATACCCATTCTCAAGAGAAACTCTTTTAAAAATTCGATAATATGAGTCATAGAGAAATTACATTTTTCAGGATAGTCCAAAGATCAAAAAGATTCCTGGAAAAATTTACAAGATCAAAAACCCTGTATAAGGTGATAAATAAGAGAAATATACCGGTCGAACCCTGTACGTGTTCTCAAAGAGTTGGTCAAGAACCTCCGAATACCGAAACTCGATATCTCTTTCGTTCCGAAAATATCCAGATACGAATGTGGGTAAAATTTTCTGGTTGAAAGGCAACTGTCCAACAGTTTAGTTACTGAAGAACTGGATAGGTTTACAAAAAAAACACTACCTACACATAGTGTATATGCTTGTTTTTTATTATTCTTATAGTTATTTTCATCTTATTTTTTTTTATTTATTTTTTTTTTACTAGCAGTAAATGATCATTACCTATGCACCGCAATAAGAATTTATATCCATTAAGTTTATTTCGCAGAGCTAATGGAGAAAGTCAAGCTAAGCTAGGCACGCAAAGTAGGTACTCTATTAAATATGCATTAGCCGACATGACAAAATATACCTAACCCCAGTGGAGACTATGGTAATGAAAAATTGCACTAAAAAATTACACACGGTTGAATTTTTACAGTTTGCAATTTTATTTGTTTTTGAGCATGAATAATGAGTTTTATGCGACAATGACTAATGAAACATGCATATAATATGTGTATATAAAAATGTTTTTTGTTTTGTTTCAGGTCTAACAGGTATACCCACTTAAATGGATCTTGAATTTTTACTGGTAAGTAACTATGCACTATCTAATCTAACTGCATAACTTGTTAATTTGTTAATATAGTTAAGTTTGGTTATTATTGAGAATTTGCTTTTATACATTTTTTTCCACCAACATAAGCTAACTCATCAACAGACATCAGTTTCATTTAGAAGATTTTCCTGTTAGGTACCATTATAATTTATTTATCAACGTGACAACATAGCCCCTCTAAGCAACGCCAATTATTTGTTGTTTCCTATAAAGTCGATTCTTTGCAACAGCTGGCTGACTGAGAAATTGTATAAAAAATTGAACCATTTGCTATAAACATTCTGTTCAGAGCTGCATTGCCATTTTGTTGGAAAAAATAATTATTCCCCAACATTTAGAAATACGACGGCGCATAGAATGGGTGCACTGCGTTGCATACATAGAAGCACTAGGAGATTTTTGAATCAAATGCCATGTATACATATGTAAACAAAGTTATTTCTTAAGATTTATCCAATTCCAAATGTGTTATAGTATTATATATTAACTGTATTGTTGGGGAAATTGAGCACAATATTGCAACGCATTGGTCTTCCCCCAAGGTCCTATAATAACAGATATTCATCGTAACCTGATTTATCAGCAATTTCGATAATGGAACCTGAGCTCCATGACGAACAATTTTATTGATCGTGCGATTAGCATGCGCGAGTGGCCCCACGTTGGGCGCCAATTTGAAATGATGAAAGTTTTATCACTTCTTTGGTTGCCCTACACCTGCTCAGACAAAGGTTTACGAGGCAATGGGCGTGGGTTATCTTTTTTGATATTGTTTTTTTTTTGGGCGCCAGGCCTACAATAGGTCAATTGAAATAAAACCAAAAATTTAAAACAATGTAAATAACTATTTATTTAAATTGAATTTATTTAAATAGAATTAATTCATTAATTAATTCAAGCAATTAATTGAAAGTAATTTGCATTTAATTGCAAAATACACAATAATCAGGATTAGCAACAATGCACGATGGAAACCAAGGTCGGCTTACAAGTTGCTAACCTATTATATTACATAAGACGTAAAATATAAAGTTTAAATTCTTACACTCAATTAAGTTGATATGTAAGAAGCATCCAGCAAATTAGATTTTACAGTGAATCTGCGTCACCTAAATCTAACAAAAGTTTCTAATACAAGTTAAATTCTTATAAATAACTAGCTGACCCGGCAAACTTCGTACCGCCTTTGAATTATCAAATACCTATTAAATATTTGTGTTAACGTATCTAGTAGCTGAAGTAAATTCAGTTTTTTTTCGATGGTCACCAGCCAAAACAAACGTAGACTCATCGTCAAAAGGACTGGTTTCAAAGAAAGAAACCAAGGCTTCATGATTCTTAGCAACAAGTAAATAACTTTTAGGGGCTCAAGCTCGTCGATTCATCCGATTATTGGCATGGGGGAAATGAAGTTAATAAAACTGGTTTTTGGACTATGATAAAATCTGACTAATAGCCAAAATTCAACTGCAAATAAGCTTCAACCAGTGGATAAAAAATTGAACTTGAAGTGGAAAAGGTGAAATAAGGGTCAAAAGGTAGTAAAAACCCTGATGTAAAAGGTAATAAAAGCCTGAAACAAAGGATTTCGCTATAGGATGGCCACGTGCCTTAGATGAAAATTAATTTACCTGATGATCTGGCTTTTCGGACGATTGTATTCACTAAAATCCCATTTCTGGTTCAAAATAGAACTTATTCACTTAATCCAGCATCTGCTGGCAATTCTCAATGAGAAATTTTAAGTTTTATTTTAATTTTGTGGTTTTAATCGCCTATGTAGGTATCAGATCACTTCTCTTCAAGTTCTGGCAGCTGAAAAGGGACGACATTTTCCAGCTTTTCCCTTAAATAATCTCTTATTGTTGAAAAAATGACATTTCTACACTCTAGCTCCAAAATCCAATAATTGAGGTTAATGTGTCAATGACTTTTTAAGTACTGCTTTGTCGAAAAGAAATCCCTTTGCGGAACCAACAAAACCACTTGAACAGTGGTCCGAACATTAATTTACAAAGGTATTCCGAGCGCACTCGAGAACCATACTCGGTACAAAATTCAGCACTGATTTACTCTTGGCCAAACATAAAACTGGTACAGGCAATATATATTTTTTAATTTGCCTAGTGTGTCAGGCTTAAAAACAAAAAGTCTGTTCTGAAAAACTTAGGTCAGACAGTTTTTGTCAACGTCAAAGCTGAACAAAAGTAAATGCAACAATGTTATGATTGATTTAAATATGACACTGACTTGACTCTTTTTGTCAAGGTCGATTTACACAATAAAACACAATAGGAAAATGCGTTCCAGTTTTATGATTGGCCAAGTGTACATCATTGGAATGAGCATATTAAAATGCTTGTTACAACTGGTATCCACATCAGGGTAAGTTCAGTCTTAGCAGTCGAGGATGTTTCTGCCATTCCAAATACTGCTTTCTCAACTGTCCAAAATGTATTAGATAAAACCCCTTTGGAGATTATTTCAACTCGCCATTCAAAGTGATGGTCGGACAAGAAAATGTCGTCGATTGACTTCATCTTTATGATAAGACAGTAAACGACACTTCGGGAAAGCTAGAAACACATTGGAAGCAGGTCCTTTTGGAGATATCTCTGCTTGTGCTGCTTGATTACTGCTTTGTCCTGCTTCAAACTGCAACCCAGCATCACCCACCGTTTTCGAAATATATCTATATATATAATAACTTTAATGATTCAAATTCAACCTTAAGGCTTGTCCGTGATAATTTTTCGTTAGCCCAGTAAATAATAATTGAACCAGACAATAAAGGTAATTAGGGTGAAACGCGAGAGAAACCGAAATCGACAACGTTAGCACAAAAGGCCAGACTGTTTAATAATTACTCGAAAAGGAAAATTTTCGACGATAATAATTCGTTTTGGGGGCGACTTTATAATGTCAGCACGCGATTTTGGGGTCGGTGGAATGGAAGACATACCCTATTCGAATTAGAGAGTAGGTATAGCTTGAATTCAGGTCTTAACAAAAGCAAAAGGATACTTTACTTGTAGTTACTTTTTCATATAATTTTGTTTTTTTCAGAAGCAAAGAACTACAGCACTGACTTGAGGTAGATCTGATAAAATAAATTACATCTAGTTCACAATAAATAAGTTGCGTGTCTCAACCCCCATAATCCCCTTTTAGGAATTGTTTATTTCCAGTTTTATTAGCTTCCACATATTAAAGCTCAATTTGTTGTGAGTTTCAACCCCTAAAAGTAATTAACGACAATGCTGGATTATGTAGGATAGTGACATGACATGCTTGGTCTGGAATAAATTGGATTCTTTTTTGACGAATCTATTTCGAACTTACATTTTGTAAACATGTAAATTCGAAATAATTAGTTTTCCAGTGTTTATAGTGAGTTTAAGGTATACCTCCATGATAGAGTTTCAAGAGGATCGACTTGTTATTTTGAAAAATAGTTTCTCACAATAGTAAATTTTTACTTGTCCACTTGCTTAATTTTGTTTCATATCAATACATAGTGCATGAAAAAAAAAATTGGTTAATAAAAAATGAGGCAATGTGCAATAGGTAACTGCAGCTTAAAAAAATCGATGTATACATAATAGAAATTCCATATTGTAGGTAATATTCCCTAGCATTCAACCTAGAAATAATCTTTTAGGAAAACTATTTTATACCACGACACTATGTGAAATAGTCCATTCGCTTGTTATTTCGACCAGAATTTATTGAATCAGAACGATTTCAATCCGACTGCTGGAAACGAGTGAATTCCAATAAACCTACTTTTTCTAGTAACACGACATTTTATACGAGCTACAAAATAACGACGTCGCTATAGAAAGAATTTTTCAAATACTTCAAACGATTTTTGTTGAAGTTAAAATCCAGCTATGAATAAAAATATTATCAGTGTGTTGGATTTCTATTCTACAAAATAACCTGAGAAGTTAAATAAGTGATGTTCCTCTATAATTTATAAAAGTTGCATTGCAAGTTTGTTTAGACCTAATTTGGTCTTAAGAAAGACAATCTCCCTGAATATATCGAATATCAAGTAAAATAATTCAAATTTAAATTTAATATACTATGTAACATTAGTTACTCAGTTGTTATTGGATGGCTTCTAACAGCTGTTATACGAATGTTATAGTTTTGCTTAAAGTTTCTTAGTTTAGAACTTGGTAGTTTCCAGTTCTGTTATATTTTGACGTTGAAAACATGTTTGATATTCAGCAAAATATTGGATTGAAATCCAAATCATCTATTTATATTTATAATAAACACTTTTCCTGGTATACAAAGTTTTATTTATTTCGCAAAAAATCACAACTAATACCGCCGCTCTGATTTGCATGCCACCAATTCGCCGTCCACCTAGTCAACCACCTCGCGACGTTGCCGTTGATGTTTCTTTCTCCTCTCCACCCTCGCCAGATTGTCCAGAGCATTTCCACCATTGTCAGTTACATTCGGCCATCCTGAAAAAGATTAATGCCCTTAATAATTAACTCTCCAGTAAATCAATCAGATCACTTCGATCTGTGATTTCGCCATCGCTATCACTTTCATCTAGCTCACTGCCACCTGGTGCGCTACTGTGATATCGCCTTAAAGAGTGAATTGCTACCACAGCTTTAAAACTCTTGAAGCCTCTGACACCTTTCACCGCCATGATGACATATCTGTCATTACCTAAAACCTCCGCCACTCGATACGGACCGTCAAACTTGTTAATCATTTTACGATTCACGCTTTTTTCCCCTGAACAAGTTTCAGCCTGTCTCCATAACACCAGATCGCCTACCTTAAAGGTTTCGCCTGTGGATGCACCCTTACGCCTTCGATCGAATATCACCTTCAGTTGGCCTTTGTCAAGTTGTCGCCAGCCTTCTGCCGTCTTGCAAGAAGTTTGGACCTCAAGTCGTCATAGGTCTCACATTCTGGCATTGGAGAATTTGTCTTTTGCATCTCGCCAGACAGACTCGCATGCACGCCATCGACATGTGCCATCATCAGCTAGGCCGGGAGAAACCCACTGTTTTAGTTGATGGTATGATTGATGCCCCAGACCATTTCCAGAAGCCCTTCATCCCAAACAACCTCAGAATTTGCACTCGCCTCTATTGCATTCAACAAGGTACGATTCTGCCTTTCAACCTGACCATTTGCCCTTGGTGTAGCAATTGCATTCAACAAGTGTTTTACACATCGCCTCGTCAAAAACTCAGCAAACACCTTGCTTGTAAACGCCAGCCCGCGGTCGGAAATAATACGCCTTGGGTACCCGAATTCGCCAAACACCTCTCTCAATTTGAGAATCGCCTCTGAAGATCTCAAAGTCCTTGTAGGTTTCGCCAGAGTATACTTAGTAAATGCATCCACCACCATGAGCACATACTGATTACCCTTTTTGCTTCGACAAAATGGCCCCACATGATCAATATGCACTGTATCGAAAGGTATCGCCACCTTTTCAATAGGATGCAACAGACCACTCGCCTTGCCATGATCACCTTTGCCGAAAGCATAACCTAAACACGACTGTACATACTTCTTGACAAAACGCCACATTTTAGGAAACCAATAGGTTTGTTCGATTAGGCCAAGACACCTATCAACGCCTGGATGACCAATGTCATCATGATGTTTACGTGCCAGACTAAATTTCGCCATAGAAGGTACATGCAAATGATCGCCAAGTAAAGTTTTCCTATACAAATGCCCATTCGCCATTTTATACACACCTTTCACGCCCTTATCAGCTGTGCCCTTATTCAAACTATTCACCAACGACTGCGCCTTAGGATCTTGCATTTGGACCGTCAGAAACCAATCCTCTTCGCTAAGGTTCACTATAAAAACATCAGCAATAGGATTTCGACTAAGCGCATCCACATGTTGCATCCTGTGACCCGCCCGATATGCAACTGTCATATCATACTCCTGTAAGTTCATTCACCATCGTGAAATTCGAGGAAGATGATCCTTTTTCGCCATAGTCGCCCTGACAGCAGACCAATCAGTCACCACCTTGAAATGAATGCCAATCAAATAAACACGAAAAGACTCAACAATCGCCAATGTTTCCAGTTCATAACTATGCCAGGATTGCTCAGACGCCGTGGTAGCCCAACTATAGTATGACACCGGGATTATGCTGCCATGCGCCTTTTTCTGCTTTTGATTCAGCCACGCCTAATTTGCTAGCATCTGTATGCAGCTCAGTTTCCGCCTTGCTGTCATGTAGCCCCAAAATTGGTCTACATGTCAGCGCCGCCTTCAGTTTATCGAAAGCACCTTATTCAGTGTCGCCCCATGGCCAGGAAACCTCCTTCTTAGTCAGTTCTGTCAAAGGTCATGCGATAATAGCAAAATCTTTACCAAACTTCCGAAAATAACTTGCCCCACCTAAAAACTGTCTAACATTATGAACATTAATAGGAGTTGGAAAGTCTTTTACCGCCTGTACTTTTGCTCTCGCCCGGTCGAATACCACTAGCACTTACTTCATGCCCCAAATACTCCAATTTATCCTCCGAAAAGATACATTTCGCCAAATTCAACTTGAACCCCGCTTTCGCTACAAGCTGAAGTACAGTGTCCAGTAACACCAAGCCTTCATCAATAGATGCTGAAGGCAGCAAAACAACATCCATGTACGCCAACATCAGATTATTTTGCATACCTTGAAGCATCTTATTGATCACCTTCTGAAACACCGCCGGAGCATTCGCCAAGCCAAATGGGACCTTCAAATACTCATAGTGCCCATCCGGAGTCACAAACGCCGTCTTTACCACAGAATCAACATGCACTGGAATTTGATGATACCCTTGCGCCAAATCCTAAGTGGTGTAACTTTTATTCGCCAATCTGTCAAGTTGATCCTCAATCCTTGGCAAATGTGACCTATCTTTCGCCGTAATAGCATTCAACGCCCTGTAGTCGACACACATACGCATCTCACCGTTGTTCTTAGGAATCAAAACAATAGGACTTGCATACTCAGACTCACTCTCCTGTGTCACGCCTGCGTCCATCAAGTTCTGTACTTTTTCTCTCACCAACGCCCTTTCAGCAAAAGACAAAGGCCTATACACCACTGGCTTATCTGTCGTCAACTATATCTTCATTTCGCCAAGAGTAGTTACGCCCAAATCGCTTTCACCTGTAGAGAAGCACGCCGTCATTTTCTCCAACAAGTCATACAATTTGCTTACACATTATTTTCGCCTATATTACCCACTCTAATACTACATAAATCGAGCTTATACACTGAAGTATCACTCACCAAAGTTTGATTCTCATGAACTGGTGCATCGTCCATTAGTGTGCCCCTCGCCATGATGCTTCCAGTGGACCACTTCATCCGCCTGACGCCTACATTCTGCACATGGTGCTCAGATGATTCACCTCCTTTGAATACCTGCCCGCCAATTGCCACTGGAGCTCCATTACTTTCATAACGCCGTGCAGGGATATAGTACCTTTCGCCTCGGCCACTGTTCATCACTACTACCATAATGTCCGCCTCTTCGTCCGGACCCATACTAGAGTCTTCCAGACACAACACCCCGTGTGACGTTGCCGCCTTGTCGTTATCCAGGGTAATTTGCTGGATGATCTCCACGGCAAGATCAACTTGGCTTAGCTTCGCCTTGCGACCCTTTACAGTTAAGGTAACGCCTGGAGTAGCTAACGCCGTTTCCCTATAAGAAGATCCCTTAGTGATCTTACAGTGGCTAAATAAACCTTTACATACAGTGGCGACAATAGAGGTCCCGCCGCCATCTTGTTCCCAGCCTCTTGTTACTTTTAAATATTAATATTTAGGATTTAAATGTACATCTATCATAAAAAATTGAAATCTACGTATTTGATGACCATTATTAGGTCCATCAAATACGTTGTTTTCCATGATTTATGATGGATATTCACCTAAATCTCGTAGTATTCATATTTAAAAGTAACAAGAGGTTATGTAACAAATGTTTGTATGTTTGAGGTGGATTTATAATATTACCTTGCATTTTTTGGGACTTACACCTCAGTTGAAATTAATACCAGATGATGAGGGTTTCCACGCTTGTTATTTTGGCCTCCTGAAAAACACTAATGTCGTTGGTCCCGCCATTCAATCCGTAGGATACTGACGGGCTTTTTATTTATCTGCTGTAGGTGGTCCATATTTCGCAGCTATATGTAAGTGTTGATATTACAACTGCATTGTAGACGCAAAGTTGGGTCCCAGCGCTGATGTGATTGTTGAAGACAGATGGGAAGTGTTCAGGGTCCTACCTTATGCAGAATGGTCACTCAAAGTTCTATTTGGGAGTTGGGGATTAGTATCCGGTGCGGGTTGGTGCAGAATCTGCATGTTAAATTTGACCTCTAGGCCTCTCCTATATGCCTGGTTGAATGCATCATTGATAATTGCTAGAAGATCTTCCTCTGTATTGGCTATCAAGACGTTATCATCCGCAGATTTAGGTACAGATGATATGGTTTCACTAACTTGGGTATAAAATTCATCTTTTTGGTTTTCGTCCGTTGTGACAATTGGAGCTTCAATTCGATCCGCGGTTTGCTGATGTCATTTTTTTCTCCCAAATTCTACGATAACAATGGCCTCTATTCAAAAAAATTAACCTCAATTACAGGAAATATCCTGAATAATGTAGTTCAATATAAGGTACTTATATTGTAACATTTTCAATTTCTTGGCTAATATGCTACTTTGTTTTGCCATAGTGGATGTGATTCCATATAAAACTATAAAGAAATAAATGAATAAATAACTATCTTTTCTGTGCCCAGATTTTGTTACCTTGAGTACTGCCTTCTACTGAAAGTTTTTTGGTGCAGGTTTGCAAGTTTGGTTGATTGATCTAGGAAGGCTTGATTCAGTACGGCAGTGCCCGCTGTTATTGATTAGAATCTTATAAAAAGGAGAGAGTAGCATCCATCATCTCTGTTCGCAAATTCAATTAATAAATAATTTGAGGTTATGATAATTGTTGTTTACCTTTTTAATTTTTCAGTTCGATCATGTCATTGAACAGCTGTTTTGTCTAGGCGTTTTCTTTAGACCTGTTCTACTTTTTGGTATAGGTTCTATAGGCATTTTTCAACATTCACCAGTCATTTTTTACACAACCCACTTTCAGTTCGTACTTTTGGGGTGAAACTGAACACATCTTTTTCTATAATTTTCTTCAATGTCAAAATTAGAAGTTTGACAAATGGAAGCCTTCTTTCAAAATCTAAATGAAGAATCACCCCTTTTGATCTGCGACCTCACGCTATGTGGTCGTCCGGTCTCGGGCCTCGGCCCTAATTAATTTTGGGCCAGACTTTTTGGAATTTTGTGCCAGGGAGCTCAAGTTTTAGACTTAATAATTATCTAGAGTCGTCCCTTGGTCATTTTGGATTTTGTTTCGGTAAGTTTTGAGATTTTCTTCAGGAAATATTAACCTACAACACGTGTTTCGTTTCTTCAATAGGACTGTTCCGAGCAGCTTTTGGAAGTTTAAGACTTCACCTTTGGTTTAGAGCATCCCTCAGTTTGAGGTAAAATTATTTGTAATATTTGGGGCTCGATCTGTTTTTTTTTTTTTATACGAACATCGTTTTAGGGTGCTAGGTTATACTTAGAAGACTCTAGGCTATATCTAGACAGCTCCTAGGCTGTAATTAGAGAGATTCTAGGCTGGATCTAGATTGCTCTAAATTGGGGCTTTGGTAGCCTCTCTTCAGCAACCGTTTGGTACCACTCTGATTGAACCACGTTGAGTTCTACGTCTACGTCAGATAAAACGTGGATAGGACTTCCATAGGACTCACTCACCACATAATAGTCGGAACAAATTTAGAACTGCAGAACTGCTAACTGCTTCTGTCTGGATCTACAGTGAGACCAAACATGTAGATAACCTCACTTTGGGAACTTCTAAATTTACACACACACCTTTGAAGATAATTAACACTTGTATACATGTAAGTTGCACTTTTTACTATGTAGGCAAATCCTATATAAATCACTTGATACTGAATTACGTTCGATAAGTGCCCCTTAAATAAAATTCTAGAATTTAACCTGAAGTTGCCCTAACAATAATTTTCACCTTTCTGGTGTTGAATTTGCCTCTTGGTAGAGTGTAACTGATATTGTGGTTTCAATCTTTCACAAGTGTAAACAGACAGTTAAAACTGTTTATTTTAAAATCCATATTTTTATACATTATTTACATTCTTATTTTTTTATAATAAAATATTTATAAATTGGTACAAGCATTATTCTAAACATATTTTCAATAACCTCCTGGCTATCCCTATATATTGTAATTATTTTTAATAAAGAAGCCAGATACATTATTGTACCTAATTAGTTGTTTTATTGTTAAGCTCTCCAATTGCACAGGTTTTGTTTATGACATCATTAATCTTTCTAGTTAAGTCACAATTAACTTGGTGGCGCCCAGAGATAAGATGTATACAAGGAACCCTTAAACCCATGGCCTCCGAACTGATGCTGACTAGCCGTATGCAGTATAATCAGGCAATTGCCAAATAAGTACGTTATAATATAACTTACTCCAACCTATAGGATTCGATTACACAATTTGATAACTTAGTTAAATTATGTGTTACTTTCCATTTACTGGGAACCGCAAACCAAACTGCAACCGCCTTTTTAAATTCAAAATCTGTCTTGAATTGGGTAATCGCTATACCCCTATAAGCGATCCTCTAGGATTATACAGGTTGGATAAGAATGCACGAGTAAACAATAAGCGATCGGAATCAAACCATTCGAAATATTAAAAGCTCATTTACTATTCGCAATTAAATAATTTTTCATCCAAAACTTAATAAAATCTTTCAAAAACATAAATTCTCTTTATGAAAATTCTGCGGTCATCTGTCCTGTCAGCGACATTCTGGGTATCTCGAATTAACTGCTAACTTTAATGGTTCAACTTGGCATAGTCTGATACACGCTGCTGCTGCTGCTGCTGCTGAAAACGTAAAACAAAAAGAACGATTTATCTTTGGTGAATATAATGTGATCTCGCCGCAGACCGAAGAATTTTGCATATATAATAAAAGTTGACGCCTATTCTCAGTATTTTTAGAAATATTACTTGAATTTTCAACTTTGAAATAATCTTAAACATTTGAAATAAAATTTTCATTTCTTTATTCAAATCACAACATACGGAAATAGCTGAAAGGCGTTTTGCCTCCAGGCAATTAATTTTATTTTCGAAAAGAACAAAAGCAATTTATCTCGCCTCTCGAAGATATAACTTCTTTCTCCTGCAAGATCTGCTGGCGAATTGTAATCAGCAAAAAGGAAAAGCCCAGAAGCGTTGGATCTTGAATCCATACAATTTTTATCACTGGTACCTTACGACTAGCAACCGTAAATTTAATTGATTAGTACATATTAGATAATTAAATTATTGTACAATATGTTTGTAAGGAATTACGAAGAAGGGCAGTAATTCTCGTTCTTTGCTTTTATGTTTTAAAACATTGCAAATAAATTTGTTACCAGTTGAAAATAAAATTCTTTAGTAGATAAGCAATGTCGCTCCTGCCACAATTTCAATCATTTTCACATCTAATTCTCCATAAAAAATCTAAGGTCCATTTTGGTAATTTTTAGTACTAATGATGACGTCACACGCCTCCAGTTTTATTCTATTTTCTTCTATTAGGTAATTCCTGTAATATCATTTATAATATTTACTATGACTGCGTTTTGATAGTTCTGTCTGTTATTGTTGTGTTCCTTGTACAGTACTACATATATTTTTGCAGATAATTAATTCAAAACTGTACATTATTATATAATATATCTGTAAACAATAAACAAACCATAAACCAAACAACAATTTCGAAACGTAGTTAATCTTTTGATAGGATATTAAACTGTTTCGAAACTAATTGGGTCTACAAGATACCAAACTAACCAATATAAAGCAAATTGAAGCATTCTCGCCATTAGAAGTATTGAAACTAGTTTGAAGTTACTAACTATCCAAGCCCAATTTGTTATGATTGCAACTCTAACTTTCACGATCAAGTAACCAGTCCCAAACAGCTCTACTCGAAATCAGATTTAAACGACAATAATTACTTTGCCGTTCGCAAGTTTCCTTCAAATATTGTTCATGTAATAACGTTAGATAATATTCTCAAGTTTGGGAAATTTCCTTGCGGCAAATTTCCACTCCGGAAGAAGACTGACAAATTATGTCGTGAAACCTCCAATAAAATAAATTGATTATACTTTACTTCTATATTGAGGACATAATTTATTACGACGGCGAGGGCAAATATGGGCAATGCATATTTTGCAGAGTGCAAATATTTACAGAAATTTCCATAGATGATTTAATTATAGCGTAAATAACAAAACGTTACATTTTGCTAGAAGAAAGAATTTTGTTTAAATATTTGAAATTGTTACCAAAAGAACATTTTATGTATTTCTCAACATTCAAGTCTATCAGTTTAGATGATTAGGTTTAAAAAATTTATTTTACCGGATATTAAATACTCTTATAGGAGGAATTTAATTTAAAAAATTTCTAGCCTTTTTATCCAGGAATTTAGGATGTAATAATATAAGGCCTTCATATTCAACTGATAACCATT